TTATGATATGAGCTGTATATTAACAAAGTTATATAAATAACTCTTTTTTATTTCAATTGTGAATTTCATAAAGAATATTTATTATATTTTTGGTACATGTTCCTTGAAAGCTTGTGAATCTACTAATATAATGCTTCCTTCCGTCTAAGGCAGAATTGAAGTAATTACTTTCAGAATAGAACTATGTATACCTGCATTTCGCCCTATCCTAATAACATTGTATTGGGGCTTTTTTTTATAAAGGGTTTTGCACGTAATTGTAATTGTAAATTTAAACAAAGTACACCTCTAATTACTAACCGTTGAGATCCCTTTACTAAATTCAACATACATCTGCCTTAGGAATAAAAATCTGGCCTAATAAGATCAGGGTAAGCTCCACAACAATATTTGACTGCTAATCACCATATGATTACATGCACCGAAATCTATTAAATATTAAATACAAAATCTGAAATCATGCTTTTTTTTTGAGAAATGACATCATTCTGAAAAAACTCGATAAAAACAGTTTTTAGCTTGTTTTTCTATGCAATTGGTACAGTCAAGTCCTTGCAATAGTTGTTTTTGTGGCTGATGTTGTAGTCGTTTGTGCAACAGCAGCAGCAGCAGTAGTTAGACTTGCGTCGAGTCCTGTTTGTGTCCTTGTATCAACTATGACAACGTCGCCAGCGTTGTCGATGCTGTTGTCATCGTAGTCATTATCAAGTGCCCGACACTGAACACCCACCAATGCCCCGAAAATAACCAGTGAAGCACTTAAAAACGACCACATGACTGCCGCCAGCGGGTGCCCGACACGCCCCCATCCAACCATTCTAGCCGAGGGTGCACTTAACCGCCCACTCGCTCTTAAGCCGCCTGCCATAATCGATGGCTGTCTCAGTTAGTCGGAATGTGTGATTGCGTAAGTGTGTGCGTGTGTGTGTGTATGGGTGCAAAACCCCAGCAAAACCACAATTTTGAGTTCAATTTAAACAAGCTGAATGAAGTGGTCATTGCTGTTGTTCTTGTGTCTTTTTATTGATCATGTCATTCTTTTCGAGAGCTTCTCATGTTGTAGCTAGGCAATTCTCAGGTTTGTCAGTTATTAAGGGAGAACAGCTTAGGATAGACACAATTTTACTCCTTTTTATTTCGGTTAGTTGCAATGTAAGGATTACACATGCACAACATGGAATTGCGTATTTTTGTAAGAGGTTTAACTTGATTTTTGAGTAAGGGGCACAGAAAAAAAAAAAAAATAAATAAATAAAATAAAATATGCTTTAGTTTGTTGCTAAAGATGTATACAGAAAATTTGTTATAAAAATAAAAATTTATTAGCGAACATGCTTTCTTATAAGATTTAAATTCAAATTTATTTCATTTTAAATAATGTAAAATGTAAAGGCATATTTTATATTTATCTTTAAAACAGATTAGGCAACGCTCCTCTCAAATATTTCTGATCTGATTTACGTATTTGATTTTTCATGTTATTTTACTATTTAGCTCAAAGTCTGAAATAACGTCATTTTAAAGTTTTGAAATGTTTAATGTGATATCAGTTGTCCTAGGAGTATTTATTTATTTGATAATTTATTTCAGCTAAGTAATTTAAAATCGTATATAAAATCGCTTTGACTATGTTTTATGCGAAAACTTTCATATGTGGAACAGAAAATATATTAAACTTTAGTTGAGCATTAAAACAACGTAGTTCTAAAACCCTCAGCTTTTCAGCGATTTTAATGGCCACCGTTTCTCTAGTCCTAAGTAAACTAATACACCTGTATAAACTGCATGAATTGCGCCCCTCCCCACAACGTAGCCCGCCTGTTCCTGCAAAAACTTGCAGTATACATCATTTAGAAATAGGTATGAATATGGGCACGTTTATAAAAGTTTTTATCCTAGTGCCCCTTTTTAATTAAACTCAAACACATGACCCGTTGATTCCCCAAACACACATTGAGTTGCCACAGTTCACATATGCACACACATACACACACATGCACACATACAGACATACATACATACTCATGTATACGTCCAGTGGGGGGCATGGGGAGTTAGGTAGCCAACAATTTATGACCACTGCCAGCGGCTATGCTATACACATATAGACCGGCATCCACAAGGACACTGACGACAATTCAAACAGAAATTTAATATTTTAGTAGTTAAATTATTTGGCACTTGTAATAAAACAAACAACTTGCAGCTGCAGTCGCCTCGCTAACGCGCCCCGCGTCCCCTCTCCGGAAACTGCATGAAACAAGTGCAAAGTGGTAAAATGGAAAAGTTTTTGAAGCCGTTGCACAAACCGCATAACGGCGACGCCGAACGGGTTTTGGGGCGTGGCATGCCGTTGGTTGCAGAAAACCTCAAAATATTCAACAGCCTCCACTGAAGGATGCCCGTCTGGCAGCAGTTGCCTTGGCTGACCAAATGTTGTTAAATAGCACGAGCAAAATGTAAATATAAATTTTCAGCACAAGATTTATGCATATTTTGAAGCTCGTAAAGGCACAAGACAAGCAAATTTCTGAGCTGAGTTCAGTTTTGTTGCACAACAGCTGCCCCCATTCCGCCCTCCGCCCACCGCCCACCATTGCCTCAAGTGGCATGTGTGCTCTAAATTTTAAAATTATTTGAAATTGTCCTTGGTACGCTGCTGCAGCTGTCACAAGGACATGAACTGCAGTAGCCTGAATTATGGTGCAAGACATTGGCTAAAGTCTTTCGCTTGAACTTATGTCAGTCCAGTTCGTATTTGAATTCTGAGTGTGTTTGCGCGTGTGTGTGTGTGCGTATGCACAGTAAATCCAATTGGGCACATTAAGCATACGTCATGTACCACATGGAAATGTGACTCGACTGCCGGCTGGCTGGCTGGCTTCTTGTTTATTCTCATTGGGTGTGTAATGGGAATATTGCTTACAGAGACTTTAATAGTTAGGCATTTAAGACGTATTCTCACAGTTTCACGATGCATGAGAATATTACGCCATTTGCATATTGCATAGTAAAAACAGCACAATAATCCCTTGTGAAAGCGAGCAGGGAATTAACTATATAAAAATACGATATAGCACAAATAAATAGAAATTAAGTACCCTTGCATAATATTATGGTTTCTTTACTAACTGCAGTTTTTTTCTGAGTGTCTGACCAACTGGAAGCCGGTTTTCAAGAATTATTTGAATAATAATCATATTGTGGAAAGGTATAAAAAATTCAAAATAAATACGAGCCTTTCAAAAATTAGCTTGTAAAATATACAAATTTTAAAATATCCCAATAACAATATTTTGATGTTAAAAAGTGACAAAGTTACACTCATAGCATGTAAAATAAACTTCAAATTGACCATTCGTGACACTGCCTGATGGTCGCCCCCAAAAAGTATGCTACATTCGCCGGGCAAATAACACGAGCTGACGGAAATGAAATTGATGACCAACATAATTTCTTGCCGCATGCATTTTCCCGTATGCGCATTTGCAACCACCGTGGCGTATGCAGATTGTGGGCGGGGGCATATCCTGCTGTTAAAGGCCAGTCAGCACACATCAATAAATATTTGAAGCGGACGTCCCCGTCAAAATGGAAGACGAGCTGCAGGCTGCAGGCCTGTAAAGGATCGCTGCGCTTGACCCAACGGCAAACCTCGACCGCAGCGAGTAGCGAACGAAACGATTTTAGTGTGGAATGTTCAACAATTCAATTTACCGCAAAACTCGTTATTACGGGAGCCTGCAACGGACCGTGCAACCCCAGAGCACTCTCTACCCCTCCATATGTATATAGCCAAAAATGGTTGCCAACGGTGTTGAAGCCGTTGCCATATGCTGCTGTTTTCCATTGCCAAGTGCAAAATGTATTTAAACCTGTCGCCCCAAAGAACACCCCGCACCTCCCCCACACATGGTGCCATACTGCCTCTACAGCATTTGTTGTGGCTCTCACGTGTCTGTGTGTGCGTGTATGGACATTAAAATTTATGCAATGCAAATGTTAAAGTGTGTGTGCGTGTGTGTTTGTGTGTGGCAATGGCCCCAGCCCGCTTTTGTCTAGGTGCCAACACTGCAAATTGGTCCAAACTGGCCGGCTTAGACGTGGTTTGGGTGGTGCGTGATTCCCTGCACAAAATATTAAAATATTTAATATGAGAGACTGTGATTGTACATCCTTACGTGCCAGTGGTTTTTGGCATGCCTTAACAATTAAAAGGTTGTCAAAATTATCCAATTGGGTAATAAAACTTTCCACATTATTATTTGAGTATATGTTCTCTAATTATATCCAAGTTTTCAATTGAAATTGCGATTCTGCACAGTTAAGAGCTGATGAAAAATGTTCTAATAACAAGCTAGAAACTAGAACTAGAACTTGAAAATATATTTCTGCATTAAAAACTAGAGTATCGTAAGGTATTTATATGTTTCCAGGAAATGGTTCAGAATAACCAAATTTTCAATTATTTTAATACTCTCACAAGTTTTAAAGCAATCATTATGAAATCTTTTAGGTGTTCGTCGAATAATGTTCAATAAACCGTTATAAGTATAAAATAAGGCCCCAGCTGTATGCGGGACTTGCAAGATTCCAGGCATACACAACACCACACATATTGTCAATAAACTGAAAATATTGTCAATATGTAAAGTATATAAACAGCTATTAACAACAGCTGGCTGCAAATTGCTCATAATATGGAATTTGCTTCCAAGAAATTAACAAAATATATTAATATTCTGGAACTGGACAACGCCTATTCAGTTTTAATATGACTGCTGAATATAGAGGAGCTTTATTCGTTTCGGTTTCCGAGAATAATTTATAAAACTAGTTTTATCTCTTTTAATATTAAATTCTCAACAGAACAGTGAAATTGGTGTTTGGAAAAGTGCAAGAATATATAAGAAAAATTATTTTTAAATTATCTTTGAGTGTTTTCTAAAATATTTCAGTTTTTATATAAATTTTATAATAAAATGCTAAATTATGGATATTTGCTGACAATTTTTTTGCTGTTCACCCTAGATGAACTAAACTTTGAATCATCGGATAATAATGGCATGGCCGTGCCGGTTGGTTTCTTCTTTTTTTTTTTTTTTTTTTGCCAACTAAACAAAGAAAATTGTAAAATATATATATATATATATTTCAGTCATTGACCTTGTTTAAGGATATGGAAGGACAATGCAATACGTATTGTTTTGGTATAGTAAAACCCATTTTGCAGCAAACAAAGCAACATCAGTTCTCAGAGTTACAAGACAAAATCAGAGATCTATATACGGTCATAAAGAATACGGAAAATCAACTAAATGCCGTTCAAATCAAATATGGAGTCTGCGAGGATGCGACGAAAAACAGAGAAACTCTATCGAGAGAGCAACTGAATCGAAAGGTAACGCAGCTCACTGAGCTACAAAAGAGAGCAGATGCACAGGAGGAGAGCATAAAGAGCTTGGAGATTCAGTTGAGCAGTCTACAAAACCGTATTGGCATCTGTGAAGAAACAGTCAAGAATCGGGAAGTACAGTATGAACAGCTAAAGGATTTGAATGGCTCGTGTAATAATAGCAGCAAGGTTAAAGACGATCTCATAGCAACAAATAAGGCGCTAATTGATAAACAGCAAACCGCATTTCAAGGTGAAATGATTAAAATCGAACTTAAGGACCGACAAATAACTGAACTAGAAGCTCACCTTAAGACCAAAGAAACCATCGTGGCTGAACAGCAGACAAAAATTGGTTCGGATGCTTTAAAGATCAAACAATTGTTTGATAAAATATCTCAATACGTTGCACAACTCAAAAAATGTCAATCAACAAGTTGTCTGGGCAAATCTACCAATGTACATGTGATACGTGTGCCCGGTGCCGAGCCCTTTCCAGTATTTTGTGACTCAACTCTCGCCGATTCCGGTTGGACTGTTATATTGCGGCGTCGTGATGGTTCGGTCAACTTCAATCGCAATTGGACTGATTATACTTTAGGGTTTGGTGATTTAAGAGGAGAGTTTTTTATCGGACTGGAGAAAATTCACTTGATGACCAAGTCACAACATCATGAATTGTATATATATCTAAGGGATTTCGATGATGAAAATCGTTATGCACACTACGATCATTTTCAAATTGGTGAAGAGCACGAATTTTTTCGTTTGATGGCATTGGGCGACTATAAGGGAACTGCAGGCGACGCGTTATCCTCGCAAAGGGATATGAAATTTTCAACACCGGATCATGACAATGACAAGTCACCCAATAATTGCGCTAAGGAGTTCCGAGCGGGCTGGTGGTACAGAAAATGTTATTACTGGTAAATAATATTATTAAATATAATATTTGATTTGATAATGCAAACTTGCATTTCTTTAGTAATTTAAATGGACAATACTTCAATGCGAAAACAACAAATCAGTACGGCATCAATTGGTTTGCGTGGCACAAAAATTCTCTGCAGTTTGTACAAATGATGATCAGACCTAAGCCGCATTAATTAATTTTAATTGTAAAAATAATATATTTATTAAGTATATAGGCATTAAAAGTATTTGTTAGCATATTATTGACCCTTTTTTTTGGAAACAAAGGGTTCAAATTTCTATTCTTAAATGCAATTTTATTTTTACAAGAAGTTATCAAATTACTGCAATTAACGAAATATGTGTGGAATATACCATTTATTCCACATTAAATTTAAAATAAAATACTAGGGCAGTTTCCATATTATTTTGTGTGTGATTCCCAACATTTTAAATTGGTTTCTAGAGTAGAAGAAAATAAAAACATACACATACTTTGCAGGACAAATAAAAAGCATGCGACACCGAAAAAGTTCAGAGAAAATGCAAATGCAGCACAATAGCAGTTTCGGATGTTTGTTAAGTGTGTGTCTGTTTGCACAGACTAGACAAAAAACCCATTAAAAGCGACTTGGATTATTGTGTTTTTCACGCTGTCTAGAGCCCAGTAAAATTCAGTTCAGTTGAGTTAAGGCGTTGGGGCAACTGATGCTTTTGCCACGTTTTAATTTGCACAAACATTTATTAAATTTTAAAATCTAATTTGAATTTTCACGCCACACGCCGAGGTAGACGACGACGAGCACGACGACAACAAAGGGTTATAAAACTAAACCAAGTGTAACACAAAACATGAGGGAATATGTGTTGGAACATTGCTCGATTCGCAGATACTCTGCAACAAGGCATAAGCTAATAAAAGGGAAAAGAAAAATATTAACATATCGAATAAAAAGTATTTACTTTTTGTATCAGCTACGCCTAATTCGGAGGGAAATATATTAGATATATATATATAAACGTATTTAAACAATAGAATTGGCCGATTTTTCTCTCCAAGAGTCGGCTTTATACACTCCTCTGTTCAACCTAATGGATACAGGGTATAAAGACAACGGAGCATAGCGTGAACGACAACAGCAACGTCGATGTGAAGGAGTCAACGCCAACAGGATGGAACCGAAAGCAACAGCATGGAATTGATTATTGAGCGAGTGTCGGGAGTTGGTTCTGCCACAGAGCTGTACGAGGAGAGTGACTCCCGTGTATATGTGTGTGTGAGTGTGGGGGTTAAATGGTACACTCCACACGGGACTTAGGTGTCCTGCACATGTGTGTGGTGGCAGCCAGTTGCGCCCGGGCTGACGCAAAAGTTATGGCACATTGGAATGCAGTTAATATTCAAGGCCTTAGCCGCCTTGTCGTAGCTGCAATGCATTTCGCAATGTTGTTGACAGCGGCACAGCAAAAATTGCAACTGAAAGTTGCATGCATAAACAGCCAAATGCCACGGCAATACCAACCGATCCCAGGGCAATGCTGGGAGGCCTTTTAGCGTATTCCGCCTCAATGTACATTTTAAATGCACTTTTCTGCAAAAAGCGAGGTCTGCTATCTAGCCGAACATTTATTTGGGGCTCTGCTTTCTATTTTGTGGCATAGTTTTTGGGGCGCGACGCGCTTTGTGTGGATTATCAGCAGAGGCAATTTGCAAAAAGAACTATTTTCAGCCGAGTGTGTGCTTTGAAATCAGAAAATAAGAAGAATAAAAAAGAAAGAAGCATGGCGCTAAATTGTTGGGTGGGGATTACACAAATTGAGGTTACGTTGACAAATTGTAGTCTAATCGATTTACTTTAGAGAAAAGCAACATTAACTATTTATATACACATTTCGATGGGTTTCGTTAGCCTAAAATTCATAAAAGAAACTTTTAAAAAAAAAGGTGATCGAAGATCATTAATAAACGTTTTACAATAAAGCTAACAAGCTGTTATACATTAATTAAAAATCCCAGATTGTATCCCCGAATTCTACTGAAGTACGAAATGCATTACCAAATTGATTATTTGTTAATACAATTTTTAACTTGGATTTTGAGCCAGTTAAAAATGATCGTTTGTAAAATCAAAGTATTTTTACATTTCTAGGTTTAATAGTTCAATAGTTATAAATTACTTTTCAAAAGTTATTGTTTCCATGAAATAATTGAACATATAATATATACATATATAATATGTATTGAAAATCTATCAATAACTATATTAATTTATTTGTTTCTTTTATTAACTTATTTAATGAATAGAACTCCAAACTTTTAGTATTAACTTTGCTGGGACAAAGTTTTCTTTCACCTTGTGATAAATGTTATTAAAAAAATAACAAAGGAACCTTTAAGAATGGCAAACAATATAAAACTGAGTTGAGGAGTTGAATCATCTTATATAATTATATAAAATATAATGCTCTTCCGGTTCAGAAATTCTCTTAGTTCAATTCACATGTGTTGAATGCGCTCAATTTGAGTTTACAATTCACAGCAGAATTCCTCAATAGAACATTGTATCTGTTTATTATCATTCTAGCAATTTCCTACTTCCTTTGAATACCAATGAAGATAGAGAAATGTCATTTGATGCAGTTCCCATTACGGACTTTTATTGATGTTGTCTGTTTGAGAGCAGCTAGAACTTAACAACAGCAACAACAGAATAGGAGTACAGCTGCCACACATCATGCAACATGCCACACGCAACAACAGCTATAAAGTTTTGCAGCTGACAATGAACATGAAAACCATGCGGGCATGACGAAGGGAATTGTCAATTTGGCATGTGACACACACTCATATCAGCATTTTATTATCAACGTATAACTGTCAATTAAAACTGAAGCATAGAAAAAAGTATTCAACAGAATGTAATACAAATGCAAGAATAACAACTTAGTTTGGGTCGCTGAACAATAAAACACCCTAGCATTTAAGATAGATGCCAAATGATATATTTCTTTAATTCATTAATAATTATCTACATTACTTTCTTATCTTTATTAAAAACTAACTTGACTCGATTTTGTTAATAGAAATAAAATCGTAAATTGAATAATTTGTAACAATAACTATTAAAACCAAAGTTTTTTAAACGGAACAGATTGTTTCTATGTATAAAAGTTACGATTGTTCTCAAAGAGTTCAACTATTAATTCAATTCAATTCTTTTATGACACTTATACGATAAAGTGCTCCGATCCGGTAAGTTATACTTATACTTTACGTGCTCAAAAACGTCAACTTTAATGCGTTACCCATTTCGTGACAAAATAATAATACCCTCTACCCTAATTTCCTTTTTTTTTTAATTTTTTTCAAAACATTATTCTGACCGCTAGAAAAAAGTAACATGAAAAATTAGTCATGCGCGATTTTGCTGGGTCGGTCAACCCCATTAGAGTGCAAAACTTCAATTAATGCTGAACCATGTCGCTGGGGGACAAGCAGCAGCAGCAGCAACAATAACAACAAATACAAATGGTGTTCAGTGGATTCAATTAACCGCTATTTTGCATAGTGTTTGCAACAATCAACGCGCCACGTGCATCGTGTGGCAGCTTAGGCGCTCTGCGGTGTGCTTTGAAGCTTGACACTTTTTGAACAACAAATGCAATAATTGTGGTTGTTGGTAAATAATATTTAGCAGACAACTGCAAGAAAGGTGAAAAAAAAACCACCCACAACGCCAAAAGTGTTGCGTATGAAAATAATTGAAAAAGTTTATAGCCTGCAAGCTCTGTACAGGTAACTCTATCGCACGGTATGTTTATAATTGTTGTACTTGTTTTTTTTTTTTTTTTTTTTATTTTTATTACCTGTCTTGTGTAATTTGTGAGTTGTAATTGCTGCTGGCCTTTGACTCTTGCATTGTAATTATAAAAATCAAATGACCCGCCGCTAATAGAATGCATTAAAATGCAGCGTTTGACGACCCAATAGGGTTCATTTATGAAAAGCACAATAATAACATGTGAATTGTCATTAGTATGCCAATTTCTATTGGGAGTATCATATTCATTATGACTTTATTTATTATTTGGATAAGTTTTATTTAGAGCAAAAAAAATATATGTATACACTTTTAAGAAAGCATACGCTTGATTCTATAACAAATATTTGAAAATATTTTCTTCATTTTAGGAATATAATATTCAACTAATTAACAATGAAAATAAATAAATTGTTTTTCTTTTAAATAAACAGAATACTTGTTTTCTTGAACTTTTTTAAAAAATAAAGTGCTTATGCATTTGTTCATGCATATTCAATGTTTTTCATAAGTATTTGAGACACGCTTATTTATTTTTGTAGCTTGAGAATGGACTGGTTATATTGTAACAATTTAAGAAGGCAATTATCATGAGCTGAGACTATTTAAACAAACAAAATGAAAAAAATACAAAAAGAAAACATCCTTTTACAAGCCTGAACCGTGTTATAACCCGTCCTATTGTTATTGGTTCTTTGCCATATTTTCAGCATATTTGCTATTGCACAGTGCTTTCGATATTAGTCAACGATGCATGAAATCAGCGCTCAGCAAAAAGCATTGTACGTTTATATAAACAGGATTTACACGCAAGTTGACGCGATGTTGTTTTCGATGAGGACGATGCCATGGCGCACAATAATTTCCGGCATTTGATAACAACAATAACAATAACAGCAGAAACAACAACAATAACAACTACAACAACAGCAACACACACAGTTTGGGGGAGTTTGGCGATTGTAAACAAACAAATTTCATGCTACGTTTCACCGGAAAGTTCAAAGCCGAGTTGAGGGATGGACAGAAGTAAAAAGAACCCAAATTGACAAGCGGCCGGAAATACAGTGTATGTTGTTTATTTTTACTTTTTTTTTTTTGCGCAAAGAGCACATACACTTTCTGTGTGTATGCGTGGGTGTGTGTTATTAAAACGAATTGAAATCAGGCTGCCAGCCAATGGCCACGTTAATTGGCAGACATGAAGCACGCACATAATTGAAATCAAGTGCGTTGAGCAGCACAATAACCCTAGAAGAGAACATATATGTGTGTACATGGTGTACATGTGTGTGTGGGTGTGCAGCGGTCATCGCCGCACTGTGCTGCGGTTGGATGAATACATTTTGCATGCGTGGCGACATGTGTCAACTTCTATTAAGTTAACGCTGGTCATTCAACCC